GGCCACGACTTGAGCTGCACACAGTGGGTTTGGGTTTTAAAATGCCCTGATCCTGTCCACAGATTACAGCTGCGCTGAAATCCCATCCAGCTTAAAAGGTTTTTTCGCTCATCATTTTGCAGAATCAGTTTGGTCAGACTCTAACATACTGGGCGAGGGTCAGTTTCTGCCCCGACTGACTGCACCAGGGGCTGCTGCTACAACAGAAGAGGAAAAAAGGCAGGAGGGAAAGGGACAGATTGAGAGACAAAGACATTTCTCCTTTTCTGAGTGGTAAATGTGGCAGAGTAATAAATGTGGGGCCTTTTAATCATGTTCTTCTTGAATGGGCTTCAAAATCAGATTTACTCACCTAGTCAAACTAAAATAGCATGCAGATGTCAGAAAGCATGTGTACCAGTAGGCCAGCAATTCTTCTGAAAAAACCTGACATTTGGGATACTAGTGTTATTTTTCATATTGCTTTTTGTGTAAAGTATTAGAATACAATCTTACAATAATGTAATAATTTAAACTGTGGAATTAGTTTCCTCCAATAATTATTTGAATATTTTCTAAGAATTAATTTGAGTTATATTCTATTGGTACTGTCACCATATAAAATCATCTGTGAAGACTCAAATCTCAATTTTCACTTGGAAACATTAGCTGCTTTTATTGTAGCACTCAAAATATTCCTTGAATACTAATTTAGCTCTTGATGCTTATTCTCTGCATTTATTCACCTCCTAACAATGAGATCCCTTTAAACACCAACAAGGAACGCTCTGTTAATATTGCACACTACCGTATCAAATGTGCAGCCCTGTGAGGAACCAGGTCTTTTAATGGGCTGTCTACAATAATTAGGAAAAGAAGGTTAAGTCCTCTTTGCAGAAAATGCCCCGCAAAGGTATGAAGAGTTGTAGCCAGTTTGTACACCACAAAAACCCACCCCAACCCTCCTCCTTTCTATCAATTAAATCTTGGTGCTGTCATTCCTGATACACAACTACAAATATATCAGGATCCAAGTCTCTCTCTGAGGAATACAGGCAATGGTTATAATTATTAGGAACTATTTCATCTAATACGTAAAAGATCTGTAAGATGCACTTTTCTATAGTTTTATTCTTTTACCTTAATAGATTTTTCCTAATAGGTAAATCAATGACATATTAGAAAACTTGCCTGTAAAGTAAGCCTTACTTCAGTATCAGGAAAAGAAAATTGGCATTTTTATCATTTTGAACTTGAATGAATGATAAGAAAACCAATTTTTTTTCCTACAGACCTGCCAAGACTGTGATAGAATTCTGGCTTAAAGGACAACGAGTATTTTCAAGGGTCTCTATCTCTACATTTTACAGACACTATCATCTAATTCTCACAGTCTATAGCGGATCCATGAAACAGCAGTGAGGTGCAGACACATCTTTCATAGACAAAAAGCCAGTTTAGCTTTTTAATTTGAATGAATATTGAGTCTACTTAGAGGCACACAAATTCTGTGCCGTTTGCCAAGAAAGTTGGCTGACAACTGTAATTAAGAAAACACTGCCAAGGGCAGCTATGTCAGCCTTAATTTGCCCTGGGCAAATCTGGGTATTTTGTCACATACGCTTCTTACAATAGAAGTGTTTCCATCATCTATCAGATTTTTACACTAAGATGTTGAATGGACCCGACATGAATGTCGGGATTAACATGAGGAAAGAGCTGAATTAAACAAGTACCTGCTTGCACTCAGTAACACCCATTTACACCTGTATAGCTCAGGAAAGGCTTAGATCTGACAAAAGACGGTTGGAGCCAAAGAATGAACAAAATCACTAAGACCAACCATTATAACGACAATTATCAAATACCAAAGAGGAAGTAGAGAAGTTACTATGATCTGCAAGAAAGCATAATTTTACACGTCTGCAAGATTGCTCCATTTTTGTAATGTGGAAATGAAAACTAATTTTTGAAACAATCTTTCTCCTCAGCATTATCTTCAAATGAGATATATGTATAAATGTATAAAATAGCTACCATTTCCTAGGAGGAAAACAAACTCCAATCATTTTTATCAGCAAAGTCACAGAGATAGTTTGACCAGGATCTCTTTTTAGGACCACTTCAGGTGGACACAGTGATAAACAACTAAAAAAATAAATAAATTTATCCTCAAACTTTAATAATTTTAGATGGCAACCACTGCTATCTTTGCTGAGGAGCTTGGCAAGTTCAAAGTCATACTGGGGCATGAAGAAACCATTTGGTTTTTTCCTGAGAAAACAAAAGAACACCTCGTCCTGCCCCTCGCCATGTCCTGGGGTGATGGGACCATCCTCCTCTTCTGCCGTGCACCAAGGGGTTCCTCTCCTCCACCAGCCCTTCCACCCATGCCAAGGTTCCCCAGTCAAGGGTAGCATGAGCACCTCTGTATCGTTCTTGTTACTGTCTTTTCCTCTCCAAAATAGGTCGCTTGGCCCGTCAACTTCTTGGAGGTCCTCTGAAAGGTGGCCATAGCTGAATGCTATGAGGGCAGATGTCGATGGCTGCCACAGCCATTTGTATCAGCTCTAGGCAGTTGCAGTTGTGGCTCTGCTGGCTGGTGAAAACAGAATCCACACATCTGCAATGGATTTTCCTTCCCTTTCTTAATTTTTATCATGGTAGGGTAATTCTCTTTGAGGATACATTCTCTAAAGCTGGGCAGCTGAAGTGTTTCAGAGTTACTGTGCTGAATACAACATGAAGAAGAGAAACACAGAGTTAATCAAGTGTAGAGCCTCACAGTCTTGGCCAAGTAGCATCTTTGCTGTAGCTCCCAGTGCTTTCTCCTTACCTTGCATTATCCATGCCTTTGCTATTCCAGCTCGCAGAGTTCACCTTGTCTCCCTTCATCATCCTCCTGGAAGCTGGCAAAAGGCTACTGCCCAGTACACTGCTGAGGTAGCAGTTGCCGTCTCAGGTATTGGGACCACCAGGAGAACGGAATGAGTGGAGCCACTGTTAACCAAAGAAGGGTGGTTTCAATAGAGACAACAACTATGGAAAGCATTTCCAGTGAAAATCATTTCAGAGTGATTTTTCCCTTTTTTCTTTCAGATGCTGTTTTTCACAAACCTACAGCCTGACTCATTCCCTCCTATAAGGCTTCTCACTATGTGGGTCTCGCAGAGCCAAAAGTGCTGCTGTAGTTTAATTCCACATTGAAATGCGCTGTACAGAGGCAGTGACATTTCAAAACTGAGGTTTGAATCACTTAATTTGCTCAATGGCCATTCATTAAAATGCACTGCAGTAGTGCAGTGTTGAACTGTGGTGTTTCATCGCACCGCTCAGGACTTGGCCTTACTGGATGTAGTGATTTGTGCCTGTTCTCCCAGACTGTGACTAGTATGACTTCTTTAATCTCAAATGAGGCAAAATAAAGGATTTCATATGTCCTTTGAGCTAGAAGGTGTTTAGCTATCTAGCTTTACATATATGGGTGTAAATATATATACATGCTTCCGCACAAAAATGTTTTCATCCACGGTAACAGGTGGCGCTGACAACACCTGTTGCTGGGGTCACTCAACACTCCAGTATTAAAACCCTAATTTTAGTTACTTATAACTTTTGTCAAACTTAAACATTTGGGTTGAAATGTTATGTGCCAGGTGTCTGCCTTAGGCTGATTTGGGGGGTGGGGATGGGAGAGGAATTTATCGGCAAAACTGTTACTGCCAGTCCAGGGAGCAGAAGCCAGGGCACTGCTTTGCCTGTGCTGAAAAATCAACTATTGCTGGGTGAGATGTTCCAGCAGCTTCCCTCACCCAAAGCCAGAAGTTACCAGCAGAGACCTTCTGCATCTGTGTGTGTCTTTTGCAAGCATTATGGAAATTCACTGTTTTACTGAGAATGTACCTCTGTCTGGCTAAAATTATGGGCCTCTGAAAGTGCTTGGTAGAACTTTGTTGCAGCTGCCCACCAGGCTGTCTCCATCATACCCATTTCAAGCAGCAGTGCTGCGCTGATGATCCTTGGGGTGCAAGATGTCCATGAAGTAGTAGAGCAAGCTTTGGAGCCTGAGCATGGAGCAAAGTGGGCTCCTGCCCATAGGGGCATCAGTCCTTGGAGCAAATGCAAGCGCCTTGGCTTGGGCTTACACAGTGTGAGTAAATGGGAGGGAATAGCTGGCTGGGATCTAGAGGGACTGGTGGTGAAGGAAGGCGGCAATGGGCTGGGAATGGCTAGAAGGGAGGACACAGGGCTGTAAGAACTGTATGAGGAGAAATGCTGAGGAGGCAGAGTGGTGTGGTAGGGAAGATCTAGGTCTGGGAAGGATTGGCGTGCAGCTCCTGCCAGTCCATGACCACACGATTTCTGTAGTCCCTGCCTAACCAGCTGAAACACTCTCCTAATAATACACCACAGCTCTTCAAATGGTGATACACAGAAGTACAACCTATGCTGCTGCCAGTGGTTACCCTATTCAGGTGTATAGACTTGAACCTACTAATAAACACTTAGGAGTTTGCATGGTTTCATCTGATGCTGTTTCAGGAGGCAGAGTTGTTCAATTTATTTCTGCTTGATAGAAACATCAACATTTTCATTCTTTTTTTCTCTTCTCAAGTATTCCTTAGCCATTGTATACTCAACCTGCACTGGAAGGGTTATTATGTATGCGTGCAAATCCCTTTGTAAATGCTACAGTTGTTTCTTACTGTATAATCTTGCTTTGGAATCTGTATTACATTTGTAGCTCACAGTACACAAAATCACACGAGTAAGTCAGTCAGAGAGACCAAATTGGGCTGTAGTTTCATCTTGGTTGCAAGAACATTTGAACAGACTGCTCATATTATTTTAAGTGTTGTCTTTTCTTGATTGTTGTGGGAATTAGAAACAAACTGCCTGTTGCAAAATATTCTGTTTCAGATTAGCTAGCATTTTCCCATAAAAATCTGAAGAAATGCTTCAGAATCTGATCAAAGTCTAAAGTCAGTTTGTTATTGAATGATGATTTTTTTTTACTATAGGTAAAGCCTCAGCCAAGAAGCTGACAAAAAAGGTAAGCAAAATGTTCCTTTCCTTCTTCAAAAGAACTCGCATTCTTTCTGTTGCTCAATAGACTGGACAGATTTCTCTTTCAAAACTGGCTTCATATATTTTCTTGTTTGTGTCTTTAAAGGAGGTGGATTCTGCACTGCTGTGTGTTGCCAAAGCCAAACCAGGACCGACCTTTTTTAGAGAACTTGGTGATAAAGGTAATGAGCACTTTTGATACTGAAAAATACATCTTGCTTTTTATCTCATCACAGAATCAGAGAATCATTTAGGTTGGAAAAGACCTTTAAGATCATCAAGTCCAACCGCTAACCTAGCACTGCCAAGTCCACCACCAAACCATGTCCCTGAACACCACATCTCCACGTCTTTTAACTACCTCCAGGGATGATGACTCCTCCACTTCCCTGGGCAGCCTGTTGCAATGCTTTATAACCCTTTCAGTGAAGATTTTTTCTTAATATCTAATCTAAACCCCCCCTGGCACAACTTGAGGCCATTTCTTCTTGTGCTATTACTTCTTACTTGGGAAAAGAGACCAACACTCACCTCACTACAACCTTAGGTAGAGTTGTACCTTAGAGAGTGGTAAGGTCTCCCCTGAGCCTCCATTGTATGGTATGAATTTAATGTATTTTTAAAGAAGGTTTCATGGATTTTACTTCGTCCTCATCTCTCCAGAAGCTGCCTCCTTGGCAAATCTCTCAGTTACGCAAGAGAGAATAAAGAGGTGTGGCTGGGAATTGAAAACCTTTTGAGGTGCAGGAGGAGACATGAAAGAAATCGGAAAGCCTTGGAGAAGAGAAAGGGGCTAAAGGGATGACTTCAGCACAAAATGAACCTTTAAGACTTGCTAATAAGCTGCTGTTTCATTATATAACTTAAATGCATGGAAACTAAGAGTAAAAATAAAATTTGCGTCTAGTTATGTAAAGTGGCATCCCTGATTCCAAGAGCAGTTGAACTTATTTCTCCCTCTTCAGGAGCTTGGTGGCCCTTCACAGCACCGATGTGCTTCAGTTTCTTTTCACCCGTCACTTCCACCTTATATTGGGCTACACAAAGAGGAAACTCTGACAGCTAGGATATTGTTTGTATAACAACAGGGAATTAAAGAACACCAAATAAACACCTCATTAACATAGATTAATTAAAGGGAGAAAACAAACAAGAGGATCAAGGAAAGCAAATAGATGAGTAATTAACCATTTCACCAGTAACAAAGACTGAAATCCCCAGACTAATGAGAAAGACTGACAGCGTCTATTCACAAACCTTCTGTATGGTAGAGTTCAGCCTGAGTGCCTTATCCTGTGGACATTTCTGGAACATTAAGCTGGCTTTGCACTGCTGCAGTTCCTTGGCAATGCAGCAAATCCCTGGGCACGGCTTGCAGCCCTTGATTGCAGCCCGTGGCATTTTGCCTTGCCCTTGGGCCTCACAGCTTCTTCTGCTTGCAATTCACTTCTTGCATCCTTGTGTAGAAAACCAGGAATCCACCAACAGAAAGTGAAAACACAGCAAATCAGTGCAGCCGCCTTTTATTGCACCTCTCCCAGCAACTGCTTGGCAGAAATTGGGCTGGGTGAGAACGCGCAGCCTGACGCTGCGTTCTGACCAAGGCATTGATCTCCCCTTGCTTAGGACTGTGGGGCCGCATACTCTGTCCTTCAAAGGTCAGGTAGGAGTTTGAGATGATGCAGGGACATTCGGTGCAGTCATCCATATGTCTCCACAACACATGGAGTTTTTACAGTTTTTGGTCATGATGCCGCTTTAGTGATTTGGATGCTTTTGCTTTGAGATGCATTATTATTACATTCTTTAAATGTAAATATTTAGGCCTTAAATATTGCTTTTACAAGTACCAGAATGATGAATCTACACCTGTTCCACTGTTTAGATGAGATTATTTTAACTACCTTCAAATTGCAATTTAAATATCAAGTAGAGGGAAAACTCTCATCAGTCCAGTTTGTGAAACATAACGCTAGGGGATTCTGCCTTCTAGTGGGCAGTTTTAAAACTCATGTCATATTTTGTGGATATACTACAGCAATGTACTGTCAGCATTTGCTATAAAATCTGAGGGTAAAGTTTTCCAGGGAAGGATAGGGAAGGTTCATTTAGTGTGAGTAAATGAGAGTATTTTGCCAATCCTAACTGCAGATCCTTGGCTGCAAGCATGCTGAGTCATTCAACACTGTGTGAAGCTTTTATCGTTTAAATTTTGCTTGGATATCAATATTATTTTCTGTGTTGGCTTTTTTTTATTTGTTTCATTGCATCTTTTAATTTGAGTAACTTTGTAATGATTACAGTAGAATAAAAAGAAAATTACCGAAATATTTAATTTATTTTATGGATAAGATAAATTGGCCATTCACTGCAGGTAGTAAAATGACAATAAAATTAAAAGAATTCTTATGGAAATTAGTCCATCAGTTAAAAAAAATCTTATCTCAAATTATTTTAATATTTAGTATCAGTCTGCCAGAAAATGTCAGACAGGCTGTGCATTTGCTTTAAGGCACTGAGACAGGTTCTAAAAAACAATCAATTTTTTTTTACATATTTTTATTCTATTTACCTATTTCACTATGACAGCTTTTCAATCAGTTTATGCTAAGATGATGAAAACAGAATTGGTGTCTCACTCCTTCCATGTCTTGCAAGACTCTTCCGTCCAGCCCTCTGCAATTTGAGCAGTTAGAGCCATCATGCATCCCTTCAGCCAGTAAGCGGAGTGTTGTCTTTAAATTGGTCTTTTCTTTACATCCTTCCATCTCCATATAGATTTTGCAGATTTTTTTCTGCAAGATTTTGTAAGGTGCAATGTTCCCTGTCCGTCCATATAGCTAAAACTCTCCAGGCAGTCAGCATTTTGTGTATCAGTTATTACTTTTTTTTTCCTCCAACTTTAACAAACACAATCTGCCATGTTAATATCCTTTCAAATGCTTTGATAAAGGTATTTTTCTTACATGACGCCTTTGAATGTGTCATCTCTTCTTTGGTATACCAACACTGGGTGCTCCTTGTAGACTATGCTGTACATCTCCAGACAGCCCCAAGGCAGATGATGGTGTCCTTCATTGCTTGGTGGTTAAATTTTTGGGCAGAAATCTCTGTGCCAATACCATTTTAGTCCATGACTGCGAGGTGTTTTCTATATGGACTGGAAAAGTTACCTCCTTGTCTTCCTTATATTGTTCCTTTAAACATTCTTTTGCTGTGTCACACACAATAAAAAATTAGGGAGCAGGAATCTTGATCACTGCCCATCACACTATTTCCTTGATTTCTTTTCCTCCCCCATTCATTTCTATGCATTTTTTTTACCTTGCCTTTTACTTAGGTGCATAAGCTGAAAGAATGGAGTAGGAGTTCTTTCTCCGTTTGTTTGGTTTTGAATTTGTAGAAATCCTGGACTCTTTGGGAACATGACTCCAAGTTTTACAGTGAAGCAAATAATAATTTACATTATTGCAATGGCAATAACCCCAGAACTTGTAAACAAAATTGAATCTTAGAGATGAAAGTATTTTTTTATTTCTACAGTGTATTGTATGACTGTAGTGCTATGCTGGTTTACACTTGATAATAGGGTGAATAGCCCTATTATGATGGAGAGGAAAGCTGAGATATGGAACCAGAGTGAGTTGGCAGCAGGATAGCATTAGAGCTGTCTTTAGCTAAGACTTGTTCTCAGTGTTTCATACACTTGCATTCAGCAATTTAGTATTTCTAAACTTTAGTACTTAAAACTTAAAGTGTTAAGTCACTATCTGAGGTCAAATACAAATGCTGTTGGCTCTGCATAGTAATTTATCATAAGTTAATTGTTTATCACTGAAGCTGGAGTGAATTCCTTATCTATCAATTAACCAAATATAAATTATAATAAATAGTTTATCTTTGCACAGGTAGCCATGTTTGAACTTCATTATTTTAAGCAGCTTCAGCATTATACAATGTTTAGCTCATAAGTTAAAAGCAGCTCAGTTATTTTGAAAGGTGATTTATAAAATAGCCCTTTACATTATTTCTCCAAACAGTATTGCAGGGCAGATGGTTCAGACTCTGTCGTTTAACCACCCTCGTTATGTGCTCCTATCTTTAGCTCCTATGCTCTATTTTGACGCTATCACATCTTTGTGTTTGTTCAGGCTTTTCACTTAAGGCGGTATTTCAAAGGAAAACACTGGAATTTTCCTTCAGAAGGGGGGGGAATACTTTCACCTTGTAGAAAGGACATGTTCCTATTTAAAAAAAATAAAATAAAAAGAAGGCTCCTGTTGGCTTGCGGCCCAGCAGCGTTATCAGCACCATCGAGCAGCTTGGCAGCTTCGCATGTTGCCGTGTTCCCCTGGAGACTTGGCGGGAAGCTGTTCCCCGCCTCCGCGAGCCTGCCAAGGGATGGAGGACTTTGATCCCTCAGGGTAACATTGGAGTGGTTCTCCTCCCAGGTACTAAATGTGACGAAGCGCAGCTAATTTATTTGCCTTTTCTATAAACATTGAATGTTTTCAGTGAGAACCCCAAGATTTAGTGTAGGCCTTTTATTAATACCAAATAAACTGTGCTTTCTTGATTAGACGTGAACATTGATGAGTCTCTGGATAGGGAATTTTACCTTCAGAGCACTAAAAACAGAAGTAAAAACTTTGTTAAATAATAACATGGGTTACTTTAATAATCTATTTAATACAATGTTAAACTAAACTTTTTATATTTATAAAATATGACCTTTCAAGTCTTGCTATATTTTCTTTCTGCAAGTAAGTTTTTAACTTTTTTATTTCAGGGTTGATATCTTATGCAGAGTACCTATTTTTGCTGACAATCCTTACAAGTAAGTATTATATCTTTAAAATACATATGCATAAATACTCAGCTTTCCAGGAATTTTTCCTGATATTTTTTAACTTCTAAATTTCTACATCATAGTAAAACATAAAGAACTATTATATAGTGATAAAAAATTAATATAAATTGATACAGCTTTGATTGTTTGCAACTTACTTCCGTAGTGTCATCATTGCAGTACTTCAAAAATTATGATAATCCCTGCAGCATGGGATCAGTAATGTCTTTGAAGAGACTTTGAGGGAGGGAAGACATTGGTTACAGGGCCACACATTAAGGGGAAGAAGTACGATGGACGAAGATAAATAATTTGTCTTTTGGATAGTAGTTTTAGTCATTTTTGACAATGACACATTAACAATTTAGCTCATGCAGTGGTATAAGAAGCTGTTGTGGTGTCTGAAAGGTGTCTGCTTATAATTCATGTGTTCAAGTATGCAGTGGGTGTTATACATAAACAGCAGACTTCTGCAGTGTCTTTTTGTTTGACTTTTTGATTCCTTTCTTTTCTTTATTCCTTTGGACTTTATTTCCTCTAAGTATTTTGCATATATTTCTGCCTCCTCCTTTGCCTCCTTCCTTTTTCTCTATCAGACACTTTTTTAGAAAAGATTTTTAGTTTGGTACTTGCTGTATCTGCAAACAGGGGCGGTCTTTGATTGTGTGTGGAAGTGATTTTGGATTTTGTGGGTTTCCTCCCCCATACTTACTCTGTGCTGTGCTTGCCACCTCCCTGTGCTGTTCTGATTTGAGACAAGATGTATGCAATGAGCTTTACCCAGTGAGACCAATAGACTGGGAGTGAAGTAGTCAACACCAGGGGTGCAGGTAGACCTTTTACAGCTTATGTAATTTCTCAGCAGAACCGCATCGGTTCCTACTAGGAGCTTCAACTAGTATGCAATTTTACTTAAATTTTATTAATTTATATATACTACCATACAAATGTACAATTTCACCAGTAGCAGCTGTCTGGTGCTGCACACAACTTGAACATCAGTTATACCATGTGTTAAAGTGCTTTTTGAAATCAGAATAATGTCAATCTAGCCCAGTTAGGAAGCTAATTTAAAAATATTTGTTGCAGCTCAAAGAAGAGGGCTTTTTTTTTCCAAAAAAAAAGCACAACTACATTATAACTTCAGCAGAATAGCTTAATTAATGTTGCAGAAATAGGTGCCAAAGATTCTATTTCTTTAAAAATCTGTGGCAGCTGAAGGTAAATTCATGCTGATTTTTTGGCTGAAACAATTAGAAAATGGAAGCAGTATCGGAGCAAGTTGTTCCACTTCTCCAGACAATTAAGTAACGTTATTTTTTACGGAATTTCTATAGGAATAGATTGAACTGCAAAAACAAAGGCACCTTTTGATGCAGGATAAAAATGCAGTGCTAATGTTACCACTTTGGTTACACGGGGGTTATCATAGCGATCAGTTTGAAAGCAAGTGTCAACAAGTGTTAGTGCCTCTGTGTTTGCCGAACATGCATCCCATGTCAGTCAGCCCCAGTCACACCACCCGTCTCTCTCGCTAGTGGACATTAGTGTGAAATTTCTTAAAGCAGACATTAATATTTAAATTACTTCTAAGTCACCAACAGAGCAACAAGGAAGCAGAAAAAGAGTCACTGAGTTTCCAGAGTCGCGGTTCCAGGACACTGCTGGCCAGACCATGCTGCCCATCATGCTAAAGCACCATCTGTAACAATACTGAGCTTGAAAATGTAATTCTGCAGCAGACAAAGGCTTTATTTCACAGAATCACAGAATCACAGAACGTTAGGGATTGGAAGGGACCTCAAAAGATCATCCAGTCCAATCCCCCTCCCGGAGCAGGAACACCTAGATTTCCCCCCTGTGACCCTCTTTTCTCTTTTCTGTGTACTTTGTATCATCAATATCTTTTTTTCTTCCAGTGCTGTACTGAATTCAGTTTCCAGCCACTGCTTAATGGAGTTTCTGGTGAAGGAGCCCAGGAGCTGAAATGAGCACCTTGACTCAAAGCTTCGTTACAATTAGGCAGTCTCATAGATTGACAGCTTGGTCAACATAGGAACGGTTGCAGGGGAAGCACCTAAGTCTAAGCTGCACTCACTGCTGAGATGAAGCTCTTGCGTTCAGATTTTGGAATTTTTCCTGATTTTAATTAAATACTAATATATCTGAGGTAGTCTTTGAACTATTCTTATTTTACGAATGCATACCTTTGGGGTTACATCATATCAGATAAGTATGTCATCTCTGAACAGTATAAGCAGCTTTAGGTCCTATATTTTCAGTAACAGGTCTCTTATCTGAACATTGCGACACAGATGGTATGAATTACTATTAAATACATCAATTACTTTTATTCCCTAACTGTGTTATAGGATAGGCTCTTCTTGCTTTTGTAGTAGTAACACAGATTTAGCGTGTGGTATTTCCATGGAAAAGAAGCCAGTTTTGATTATTACAACCCATTTTCTGGGAAAGGGCTCTGCTCTGCAGATTGCAGCGGTATTTATAAAATATCCCTGCATCACAAGGTTGCTCTGCAGAGAACGTTAGTTGGCTGCTGAAGATGTAGTTATTTCTAAATGTAGAAATATACTTTCTTTAACCATTTTGTTATCACTTAAAAGGAATGGGATATTTCTTGAACGTGTTCCCTTTGCAGAAAGATTCTCTTTAAAAAAAGCCAGACTTAAAACTTTACAGCATGGAGCTGGAACAATATATTTCTAAAAGAACTACTCCAAAGGCATTAGAGATTTTTAGAGATACTGCGCCACTGCCCTCATGAGTCCAACATTGTTCTTGGAAACATGAATGTATTCTAGAGACGATAAGTCCACGGCTTTTGTATTAATGCCTGACTTGACTGGGTTGTGGAATTAATTCACCTGCTCCAGAAATTACTGGGATAAGTGCTTGCTACTGCAGTGAACTGTAACTACATTTCAGCGGTGTACTGCTCCTGTGTGGGCTGGCTAATGAGTGAGGCCACCTCTAAGCAAAGAAGATCAGGAAATTGTGGGAAGGAGCCCAAAGCACACTGTGTTTTTATAGCGCCTGCAAGACTCAGAACTCATTACATTTTTGTATTGAAAAGAAACATCCATTCAGTAGAGGAAATGCAGGGTAAAACTGTGTAAAAGTCTTGAAAAAATCAGCTTGATGAGAGTCATAGGAAACATGCTTTAGTCCAAAAAGGCCAGAAAGAGTGGTTTATTACATCTCAGAGACATTTCAGGGCATTGTTTAGGGAGGGAGGAGAAGGGAAGAAGAAAAAAGGCCTGGGGCTAAGACAGCGAGAGCAAGCTGGCCACAATCACAAAATCAGTCTGTTTGCTGGGGAAGACTGCAAATACTGGCAGTCATGCATGCAGGACGTACCCGAGGAGTACCCTCGCTCTTTCACGCAGTGCAGCAATCATTACTGGTTTCTCAAGGCACTTCCCAGTCTTCTCACCTGAAAAGGAGCCCTAATAACCAGGGCAGAGCTAGGCTTCAGATGTGACATGAGATTATGGAGACATCTATAGAGAATATTTAAGACCAGCACTGTAAGACATGCAACATTTTCACAGTCGTTGGGATCAGATGGACATTCGTGGCTGTACTGAGGCACTGCTGGCATTTCTTGCTTTGTCATTGCATTAATTATCCCTTGAAATGGTAGTGAAAAGGTGTTTACAAAGCTTGCTTATATTGGAGGAGGTAGACGTGGTTTACTGGAAATACTGTGTACATGCATAATGATGGACAAGTGAACCTTAGGCAATATTCCTTTTGGATTAAATATTTAGGTACTACTGTAAGTGTGTGTGTGTGTGTGTGTGTGTGTTTACAGTACAGTTCTTTCACACTTTGTTGCAGAGCCCCAGACTGGATTTCAGATTGCCTTTAAAATGTTGGATGCAGATGGCAATGAACAAGTTGAAAAGAAAGAATTCTTCAAGGTATGTGTTTATATACTTATTAATTTTACACCATTTAAATATTTCAATGGGTTATATTTGCTAAATGAAGATTTATTAAAATTTTCAAGCCTTTTTTTCAGTCCAATATGAGATCACACGCTAACTAAAATACTTTCTAGGAAAGGAGAATATACTAAAGCATTACTATAATAGTACTTATCATATTTGAATCCACTTTTATAAATGTTATCTTTGACTTGTATCTAAAAATCTGTTACTGGGAAAGTAGGAGTTGGTGTACATCCCTTAATCCCATGAGCTAATTTAAATAATAATCTGGAAAAGCATTTTATTTTCTAAATATTTTGAATAATCATTTTAATTTGCCATCCTGTCTTGGGTTTTATTAATTTTGTTTGCTGTTGCACACGTTTTTTACCAATTCACACTTTGGAGAGCAACAGCAGGTTGTCCCATATTTTGTATTACCAATAGGGGAGAAAGGCAGATGCTTAAAAAAACTAAGAAAATCTTGCTCTGATGTTGTAAAGAATAATAGGCTTCATTTTATAGGTTATTCAACTTTTAAGTATTTAACAGGAGACTGTTAACTAAATACTTCAACTTGTCAAAAGTTCAATGTAAAAATAACAAACAGAATTTTTCATAGACTTCCCTAGCTTAATTCAGATCCTTGATTCGTATTGGAGGTGACTAGAGAGACAATTTTATAAGAAGCTGAAATGGCAGTGTTAGCAGTACTTATTTAAAATAGGTACTGTGTCAGTTAAGTAAAGAAGGAGATTCTTGCAGAAATACAACATGACTGCCTTTTGGAGGCATACAGTATGCCATATATTTAATATCCCTTACCCATTTCAGGCTATTCTAATTGAATCAGCTGGTATGACCAACAGAAAGTTGTAGGAAAAAAGGAGTAGAGGTGAAAACATTATATAAATCATTAAAAAGAATTTGATTCCTGTAGAGGCAATCAAATTTAATGAAAAACATTCTAGTTAGATTGTTACTTTGCGTTTCCTTTATGGACTGCATTGATAAATTAATATCGAGTGGTTAAAAAAACATACATTGGAATGTCAACTCACAGGATCATGAAATTCAAAGAAATCCCACAGGATGCAAGCTAGTCAAAAGATGAGTTTTCTCACAGGACTATTCACTTAACATTTACAAGTGGTGACTATTTTAAAGAAAACTTGATTTTCTAGGTTAGGTTTTAAAATAAAATGTTTTGAATGTAAGAATCCGGAAGAATGTGTGTGCATTAATCTCTATACACTCTAGTTCAGTGTGCGTCATAGAAAGCTTCTATGTATGTAATAAATTAGTAAACTGTGTGGCTAATCTGTCATTGGTCTTGTCCCGGTTGGCATCTCGGGAAAGTATGTTTGAACTATTCTATTCGTTATTTCCACACTGTATTTGACAATAGTGTCAGGAAACGTATGAGAGGGAAGGGCAGTGAAAAAGAGTATTATAGAATCACAGAATCAGTAAGGTTGGAAGCGGCCTCTAAGATCAAGTCCAACCGTCAACCCAACACCACCATGGCCACTAAACCATGTCCCCAAGTGCCACATCCACACACTTTTTGAACACCACCAGTAGCAAAGTGGCAGTAATTAGGAGACAGGTACTGTAAGGAAGATGTGATAGGAAAAGAAATTTCAGTGCTACTTCATTCTCTTGCTTTGTTACCTCTTCTTCTTCCTTCTTATCTCTTATCTACTGATGAGACATCCATGTACATCTGCGTTATCTGTTGATCTAGACTGTAAATTCTTTGAGGTGAGAACTTTGCTTCTTTGTTTGCAGAATGTCCATCATGCTTTGAATTGTGCATATCTCAGCTCTCACATGTTGCTGGAAACCAGGCACAAAATGTGCCATGTGAATCCTTCAGGAAAGGGCGAAGGGTGAGTGATGAGCAGAGTCCACATCACAAGCCCTTAGTGCCTGCAGCAGGTGATGAAGATGGGCTGTTCAGACCTGAAGGAGTGCAAGATGCAGGACTTCCCAGTACGTCCAGTGCTCTTTGCTAATATAAATGAATGTTCAGGAAAGGAGATCTTGAATGCAATTCCATGTTTTCAGCAAGAGCGTTAATCTTGTCCTCCATAGCCTTTCCATTTCTGTGCACATTTTCCTCCTTTCCAGCAGGAGTTACAAGTCTGTCTCTTCCCAGGGACACACTCTTGTTTCTCTGCTCCCTACTTCTTTGTAGTCAAGCCAGTCTAATTTCTGCTTCATCTGTGTTTCAGTGGTAAGCATTCACAGTATAGGAGACATTTCAGTATTAGGGCTCAGAATCACAGCAATGTGTATTTTGGGGTGGGGATCTGCAAGAATTCATTGCTTTGCCCTGCAACACCAGGGTAAAGAAGACATGGTAGAAATGGCATGTTCACAGATGTCAGTTGCTGTCCTTTAATTAGCCCCTGCCAGAGTGTAAAGAATATTCTCAGAGCCATGTTATCTGCATCTTTGTGAAGACGTAAGATCCTTCTGTGGACTCTGCACTTCCAAGACGTGAGATTTGGCGAGGGGATTTTCCAGACATGTGCACATAATAACCCATGCACATTAATCTGAGACCTCCCATGGAGAATAAGGCTACCAGAGATCTCCCAGTCCCCAGCAAGTGAGGAATTTCCCTGACTCTGTCATGATGAAAGATTTCCAAGTAAAATTAATGACAGTTCAAAACTGTTGAGAATGGAAGCAGCGTAACTCTGATGGCACATGCAAGAGCTGTGATTTAGACTTTCTAAAGTCTTTTTTCTCTCTAGAGACACTTGTCCTGGTCACCACAAAAAACTTGCAGATGTTCATCTGGCTGAATGACCCAGCACTGCCAGCAGTTGTTGTGGTTTGGTACAAACAACTCTTGTCTTCAAAAAAGATGACTTCTTATGATGTCTTTAGTAAAGAGACATCAGTTGTGCATAATAGGTCTCATTATCTTTGAATTAGCCATTAGTATCTTCCAGTGATGAACAGATATAAATATTAAATACAGATAAACATTACATGGAGCAGCTGAGTGTTAGAGTCCATTTCTTGAGGGCAGAATTGTTCTCCCTCTGTGAGTAGTTGCTGCATTGTGCTGGAAAACATCTGCAAGCTACTGGAAATAGTTTCCAGCACTATAAGGATTTACACACAGTGTAAGAAAACAGTAAACTAAATCCTCCAGAACACTTGTGAAAAAAAATTATATTGTGTGTCTGTGCTCTTTAGTAGTCTCTGCAGAATTTTTTAAGAGTCCTTTAAAAATAAAATCCAAAAGAAAAAAACCATATATTCTCTTGTTTGGAAAGTATTTACAGTTGTGTTTCTTGTGTGTGAGCAAAAGATGAGTTTTTCAAGTAAGAAAAAATAAAATTTTTTAGTGAGGATATGGATGAGCAGTTGTGTTATTTTCTAGAGCTCTATATTGTTATTATGCTATGAAGGAATAATGCTTTTACTGTACTAGTCAGTTATTTTGTAAGTGATCAAAAATAAGAAGAATTTGGAGAAATTTGGAAGAATTGGTACTGTTTAATTGTCTTGGTTTGCAGTGTTTATTTGGATAAATACTATCAAGGCATGCCATTCAAAAATAAGAATAGAAAGTAACTATCTAAAGGAACTCAAAAACAGAGACTATAAAAAAACCACATGAATTAGTCAAAATTTGAAGGACGAGGGAAAACCTTTGGCAACATGAACAGTTAGCAGATTTTTTCCTACTCACTACTTAAAAGCCCATATTGCTTCTCTGAACAATGTAACAATAAAAAGGAAAAAATAAAGCCCTAAGAAGAGATTTGAAAACCCCACAAAATAATGGCTGTGCAAATTTGGTCATGGATTTTTTTCCCAATTTTAATGGGCAGGGTGAGGAATCACTCAGAAATGTTTGAGAAGCAAACCAGCAGCTTCAAAACCCTGAGCTCTAAAAACATCTTTCCTAAAGTCTCCAAATCCAAAGTGATCCGTGTAAGTGTAAGTCCGTATCTGTACCTGAAATGTAATAAGTCCCTTGTTCTTTCATTTTTGCTGTCCTATTGAGGATTCGTGCAAGTGTCTGTGAAAGGTAGGTAAACCTCCTGCTGTGTTGAATCACTCAGTGTTGACCTCCCAAGCTAAAATGCAGGCAAACCTTGCAGCTGAGATATACTTGAGGTGCTGCAATTTAGTGCACTTTCTGTGTCACCTTAAAGCTCTACTTGAAACAGTGGAAATTATGTTTATAAATGTGAGTCATTTCAGTACATCTGCATATCTTCTTAGAGAACACATTCAAGATCCATTTATTTGTGGGGTGGAGGGGTAACAAACATTTCTGCTTAATGCCAGTTCTGAAAATATGTTTCCTTATTTAATTAAATTATTCTTTTTTGTTAGTTATGTAGTACCTCATTTGAACAGCGTGAAAATCACAGGATAATTTTTATTCCCCAAAATGACCCTTGATGTTATACCCCTGAGTTTCAAAATATTATGTAGTGAATGCTAAGCTTCTAGTGCAAGAGAATATCCTATAAAAATAGAGTAAGCACTGGGTTGCAAGAGATAAATTCATGTGCTCTGCTTGGCTATATTAACCACAGTAGAGAAGACATTCCTGGGAAAAGGTGTGTCTGAATAGCAAAGTATCTTTAAGTATGCAAATATTTTGTCATGACTAGAGAACCTTGCAGAAATATAATTAAGAAAGGTTAAATTAATGCAAGTTTCTGAAAAGGGAGACTCTTGTAAGGCCAAATTTGTAATTTTCCTGTGTTCTTTCCATGTTTTACAAATACAGCTGCAGAGAATCATTGGGAAGGAAGATGATTTGAAAACAGCTGGAGACGAAACAGTATTTCGGGTATGAAATAGAGATTCATTTTCCTTTACAAAAGCATTGTCATGTTTCCCATGAGCTTTGGGTTTTTTCAGACTTTTTTTGATAAGTATATAAGCATCAGTATTAGTGCTTTAATTTCATGAAAGTGCATGATTTACTTGAATTAGGTCCACTTCCAGAAAGAAATGGCATAGATGCAGACCAGAAGAAACAATCTTAGAGTATGATCTTCCAACTGGGTTAGAAGTTTCACTGGATTGCAGACCATTAGCAAATGGCAAATACATCTCATCCATGAAAGAGTAGGTAAATTTTGCTCCCTTCTGACTCTGACTCTTTTGCCCTCAGTCCTGCCACTGCAAGCTACCTTCATCCCAGGTAGAGCCTTTGCCAGCTGCCATCTCTTCAGCCTGTAGTCAGTGCAGAGACGAGATATTCTGTAGCCGGGATGAGATTGAATGAGATTGAAAACAGAGGGGGAAGTCCTGAGCAAACTGAAAGCCCCTCAGGAGAAGCTGATGAACCAGGGCAAAGGAAGGAGAGAGCACAGATGGATTATCTCCATATATTTCTATAAGGTGCTGCTTACACCAGCAGCACTGCTTTTGTTTTGTGCCTCAATTGGGTGGTGTAGCTGAAGGATATTTTTATCACTACAAACGTGCTTTCAGTTGTAAACTGAAAATGGGTAATTAGGCATGAGGCAGCGACTGCTCATGTTGGAAGCATTCAATAGGAAATTTGTACAGGGCTCTGCTTTATAAATCTGTCATTCAGCAGCAGCTTCTGCAAAGAGTTGGTCCAACTCCTGTTCTTTACTTTTTCAACTGCCTGGAAAAAAATAGAAGTGACAGTATTGCTAACACCTTAATATTTACTGGGCATAAACAAAAACTCTTCTGATGCATAAAGATTTTGCACCCTCAGTATTCATCCAAAGTTCAGTTAAAAATTGTTTTACTAACAACCATCTCCTTTTTTGAATCTTTTCATCAGTCGCCAGATTAAAATAGCTAGGATTAACAGGGTTGTCTGCTCCTCAAAACCAATTTCAATTGAGACTTAACTGCCATGACAGTGAAAGAAAAAGGATCTTTATTCTGCGTGAATGCACAGCTATAGTATAAAATTTCCAGAGAAACTCAGATACAGTTGGACAGATTTAGTTATAAACACATAAGCTTATTGGGACCTAATTAAATACCTGAGCCTGAATGTCTCTATTTTTTTTATTCTCTTGCTTCAAATTTTGTCTTCAGAATTCTTCATTGAGAAAAATCTGAAGTTATTGTAACCAGAAAATATTATTTAATACGGTTTCTTAGCAGACTATAAATTGAATTATAGTCTGTTCAAAAGAAGAATTAAATAGCTTTGGGGACTACAGCTCTCTTGAAATTCTTCTGGTCTTTATATTTCTACTTGGCAAATTCCAAATTACCATTTTTCTTGGGTTTTTTTTTTTCCTTTCCTGTCTCTATCTCACAAAACAAGTTGATTATCAGTATAAGCAGTGAACTTGACTATACAATGTTGTGCCAGTGCATATGTTTTTACCCTTTATTTCTAATAATTATGGCAGTCATAGTATTACTTTCAATTTGGATTAATGAGTTATCCAGTAGTTTCCATACCTCTAATTTAATGTGCTTTGTGTAATGACTAAACTTAGAAATTAATTTTTAGCTGTTGTTAGGAAAGGAATAACACAGAATTTTCTATATTTGTTCTTAAAATGGAGTTCATGTTGAGAAGTAATATGTGCATTGTCTCATTTCCAAATGATTAGATATATGCTTCTGGATTCTATAATGAACACATTTTCATACAAAGTATCTCATTTACCTGGTGCTTTTTAAAACATTTAACTAGTTCTCTGGGACACAGCTATTCATCTCTTTTAAACAAGAAACTTTAGAACTAAAATTCATTCTGACTATAAACAGTATACTTTTAGATGCACACATGGGTATTTTCCTATCGATTGTGTATCAGTTGTTTTAACCTGTCTACTTCTCAGTTTGTTTTTTATTTTTAATTTTTTTATGGTCCTAAAAGAGGCAAATGGCATAAGTCATTCGCACATTTATCACCACATAGTTGGTCAGCACAAGGTTTTGCACTTGGACCTTCAGATATGGCAGCATCGCGATGCGTCTCCTCAGCCCCAGACAGGGTCTCTGTGGGCCATCGTCACCTTCCCATCTGCTCCCTAGAATTTCTAATAATTCTAAAGTTTTCTGTCCATAGCTGCAAAGACTGCAGAGCCCTGGGCCCACAGTAACTAAATGCTGAAGGGAGGAAGATGGTGATTGCCAGCTGTGCTCTTCTAGTGCAGTAGTACTCTGTAACAGTGGTGCGGCCTAGCTGTGCAGCACATCGAATTTTGCAAGAATCTAGTCCAAGACTAAAATGGATTTTCCCTCTCCCCCAAAAAAAGTGTCATAAATCTTGTCACTGCTCAGTTCAGATGGAATGTGCATTTTTACTTGACCTGTCTCCTCCAACAAAAATGTGTATGTTTGTTGTCAGCAGTTTAGCATTTAATGCTGTTGAAAAGCTTTTAGATATGTTGCAATGCTCCTTGGTTTAACGTTCCTGCATGCTTTAAAGGAAATTCTCCAGGCAGGTAAACCCCATAAAGAACCAAGCAGTGTGACATCAAAATATTAAGCTATTAAAAAACTTCTGGGTTGTTGTTTACCTCAGGGTCAAGGAAATTATTTTATTTTTCCATATGATCTAACAACATCATAACCTCAAGAGAGACAAAGAAACATGCTTTGTCACATCTTTCTAGGTACCTATTCTGCAAGTACATTAAATTTGGCTTGGACAGCAGAAGTCTCTCCCAGGAGGAATTCATCTGGAAGCCCGTTTGGAGTCGGTTTTAGCACCGAAAGCTTTATGCATGCTGAGGATGGCTGAGCTCGGCCTTTGTGGCCTAGTCCACGTTAATCAAAAGAGTGTGCTGCACAGAACATCATAGCTCCTCAGAGGGTCCTTGTTACAGATTCTGTGCTTTTGGTGGAAATTTATATTTTTAGAGTATGGCATGACAGGGAGAGGCAGGGCTTGAATTCTTGTGAGGGACTGTCCCCAGCTGTGTTTGGAAGCCGCTTTCCCCAGTGCCAGCAGTGACTGGTCAGGCTGCCTCAGGCTTCGCAGTGCTTGATGCAGCAAGATTTGGTCCCTCCTAACCCTGGTGACAAGACTAGTTTGAACCTGTTCCTATTTTTGGCATAAATTATCTCCTAGAATGTCTACTCCAACATTATCTGCAGCCCATTTGACTAGAAAACATTTTTATTCTGTACCTCCTCCTGATGCAGAATGGTGAGTGATACACTGAAAGCTGAGAACATCCATGAAGTTTTCTTCCTTGCTAAAGACACTAACAGTACAGCATAGTGATTCATGGCATTAGTTGTCATTAAAAAACATCTCATCCCCAGGTAATGGGAATTATGGATGTTGTTGAATGCTGGATATAAGCTACTTAGTGTTTACAAAATGCTTCATTGGATGACTTCTCAGTGTTTGATCTGCTTAGATTGGAGTCTAGATTGTGTTCAGGGATAGAAGCATGGCCTGAATTCAGTGACCTAGCAGGTGAAAAACAAAGAGCATTTCAGGGAAGTGGACTGAGAAAAAATTGCAAATATTGAGTCTTAACTTTGGAAAGATTTGGGACATCACTAGACAGAAACTAAGATATTGTTCTCCTTGACCCTCCTCACTTCTCCCCTTGTTCTTCATTTATTCACTCTCTTTCTGTCTACAAAAAAAAAAAATAATTCCATAATATGCATTATTTTTACAATTTCTGTTGAAACAAGACGTTGCACAGCAAATACCATCTCCCAGGAAGCAAGTAAGAGAACAAGGAACATATTACAGATTTTAATCATGATGAATGCTTTCCAGTCATGCCTCAGGCAAATTCTGCAGTATAAGGTGGTAAGACTCTAGAGACAGTAAGTCTGTTAACATTTCAGATGAGTTTTGAAAATCTGTTAGGTACATTATTCCAAAAATCCTGTCTCACTGTGTGATAAGTTTCTTCTCAGTGGCACTTGTTGCTACTTGCTGCAGTATCAGGTCCTAAACGTCAAAAGCTCAGCAGGGAGCTACAGGATTAGGTAGGTCTGTGCCCATGACTCAGTGTTTGCTGCATCAGGCTTCTGCATTAACAGTCTGTGTAATGTAATAAGGAAATAAATGTTACGTTATCTGATTTTGCTTGAAAAGGAGTAATTGCATAATTCTGGAGTTCAAGATGCTTTTGAAAAAGGCACAAGGTGTCAACGTTACTCTAGGAACAAAAGCTTATATTTGTAATATGCACACACGTGCTCATTAGTTCGTATAGACTTGTGTGGCATCAGAGCTTGGTCTTTGTCTGCATCAGGGGACACTGGAAGATGTGGGGTTCCCCAGTGGACATGTCCCTGCCCCATCCCCTCCCTAGATCAAGATGAGACTCGGGACATCACCATTCTACCTCCACTCTGTACTTCAGCTTTCTGTAAAGCCCACAGCCCATAAGGGTGCTGTGCTGCACCCTCCCAGGGCTGAAGCCACCAGATACTCCAGAATACAAACTTTCACTACATTTAGCCTCAAAGCTGGCAGTCTGGTCCTTCTTAGAGCTCCAGGATTAGGTTACCATTCATTCTCATTGCCAAGAGAGACATTCCAAATGTAAGTTATTCTTCTACCTAAGCTCAGGAGGGTGAGGTGTTGGAAATATTAATAGAGCTCACATTATCTTCTAACAAAGCTTTGTCATGTTGGTACTAATTTATACAGTTCAGCAGCAAAAGCTCCTAATGATTCTGTGGACAAAAAGGAATTATGTACTAACATATACTTTAATTTAATAGCATTAACTTTAGGAAAAGCAATTTTTTGAAATTTTACCCTTAAGCTGTGATCTCTGTGGTCTCCTGTTGCATATTCTGTTTTAAAGAAATGTACTGTTTTGTAGTTTTAAAGCACATTTAACTCTCGCTAACATAGTGTTTGGACATCTGCCAATTCCACTTTGGAATTTCAACTGATAAAGAGGGTAACCAACAAGTAGGTGCATATTTGTTATAAATCTGGGGATAGGCTTTGTCATCTCAGATAAGATGAGATGGGTATTGTTTGTATGTCTTTTTCTAGCTTATAACTAGAGAAACATGAACAGAAGAAAAAAAAATTTTAAAAAGTTATTTTAAACCTAATTTTCCAATTTGTTTTCAGTACAACACTGATTTTAATATGGAGTAATTATACTGGAAGCATTAAATTGCATAATCATGAGTTCAGTTTTAAAAATTTCATCAGCAAATTTATTTCTTGCATTTTTCAAGTCTCCTTTAAACATGTAAGCAAAAAGCAGATTAGAATCTCACTTCAGTGGGAAATATGTGGGTTCTTCTGTTTCTTCTTAGAAAACTTTGCTTTCTGACATAAATAGTTTGGGTTTGAATTTCAAATAAGCATACATGAATGTTTGACTTTTGACTTTCAAAAAAGCATATACCAATGTTTATGCATCAGTCTTCACAGGAATCTGAAGTGTTTAAACTTTAGAAGGATGAATCTTGTGGGTATTTAAATATTCCTTGCCTGCAGTTAAATGATAAAAGTTCAATAAGTACAGTTTGCATATGCCTCGATAAGTTTTTTTTCTAGGTTCACTCATACATAACTCATATCACTGGCATTTAGTGAATTGTAACTGGCAGTAGAAAAGAGGAATGTTACTTCTCTAGCTATAAAATAACTGTGTCACATATGCAGTAAGCATGAAACACAGAGTAGACTAATGGGACTTGTTACTGATGATGCTGAAAGCTAAATAACCATTAGTATTAAATCTTATGAATAGACTCTTGTCTTTCACCTTACCTCTTCAGCCAGATAAAAGACATAGAGGCTATTTAGATGTCATAAGAATAGTTTGTTGAAATCCCTCTGGACTTACAAAAAAAAAAATCTCTCTTCATGTTGCTTAGAGTTTTGCTGTGTTCAAAGAAATGCCAGTATGCTCATGCTGAAAGAAGAATAGAGCAGAAATCCAGCATTATGTGTGGTTTAATTCTTGTTAAAGATGCTGTTGAGTTGATATAATGTGCATTCTTTTTCTGCAGAAATGTCTTAATCAGATTTAAAAATTATATAGAAAAGTCACTAACATTAAAATTAGCAAGAAGCCTTGTAAGACCATATTATAGTAGAGCACTGTGAATGTATTTTTCTAGTTTCATTTCTTAGACTATTGTGAATGTTTTTAAATGGCTGTAACAAATTAGAAATATCTGACTAAAAACTCCTTTACCAAGATGTTAACTTTATTTCAAGGCTCTGTTCACCCAAGCATAAAGGTTTTTAAAGATTTAATTAGCATCTTTCTCAGTTCCAATAATAAAATACACCAAAGGCGGTTGTGAGTTTTACTCATCTTTCATACAGAATATTTAGAGGCAGGACATGTAATACATTGTTACCAGGTGATGTGGAAGAATTATTCAGTTCTGAGATCCTGTGTGATAGCTTTGGGAACAGTAATTAAATTATAAGTATCTCTTGTGAAAATCTAGTTCAGATAAATATTTCCAGATTTGTGGTGAGTAGATATTTATAATCACACAATATCTAATAATTAACTATACAGTTTTTTGTTTTATAGGGAGCAGAACTGGAAAGCTGTGGTGTTACTACCATGTTGCTGATGCATTTCTTTGGAAAAGAAGGAAAGGAAAAACTTCGCTATTCTGAGTTTTTCAGGTATTTTTTCGGCTAGGCAAACCTAATAGCAGTCAGTCCTGTTCCAGCCCCCTCTGCTTTGCACCAACACTGGCATTAACCTGACCCCACACTGAGCTGACTCCGAAAGTTAACCAGGCAGTGAAGCAGAGAATTCATGATTTTGCATGATTAAATTTCTAGTTTAGCTCCTGGGGTCTGCTGTCTGCAGTCGAGCACCACGATAACTCCAAAGCAGCAACATTCCTGGAGGCCGGGAGCGTTGAGACCACCACTCCTGGCAGCTGCATGATGGCATACCTTAAGACAATATGCTTCATGAGTATTTTTCTTGATCAAATCACCAAAAAAGTGACTGCTAATCAATTAAAAAAGCTTTTCTGAGCTGAGACATGCCATTACAACTGTCATGGTAGGCTACAGGCAACTTCTCTGCTTGCTTCAGATTTCAGCTTCTGTTGAAACTTTACCTGTGCTTTTTCCTTTACCCTTTGAGCTACTTTTTGCTTTGCAATATCAGAAGTTAATAGAAAGTTCTGAGACTGGTATAGAGAATCATTCAATTTGTATGTCATATACATGTTAGAAAGATGCTGCAATCCTTGTCTACATCAGAGTATGAAGTTCTGCTGTGGTTGCTTTCCACTTGAAAACCCAACCAGGTATCAGCTGTCAGTGTTTAATTGGGTTAGATTCTTTCTCCCAATGTTTATTTCAGCTAGTAACTATGACCACCACCTACACAGCATCACACCTTAACTGGTTAAAACTCTTTGTTACTTGGGAAATCAATTTCTCCTGATAGTATGAACTTCAGACATGTCTTGATATGTGAATTTGGGCCAAGAATCCAAATGCACAGTCTTTATTTGAGATAAATGGAAGTTAAGTGCTTAAATACCTGTGTGAATCTTGACATATGTCTTATACAACATTGAGAGAAGATTATCTACATCAGTATTACCTTTTCTACAAAAAATAATCAGTCATTTACAGACTGGAAAAATAAATTGGGATATGCTTTACTTCAGTTTATGTTCAGATGCAGAGAATCTGTGTCAGCCCTTCTTAAAAATGAAAGTTGTTGCAATCAGTAGAGGTCTGGGGAAGCCAGAGTGAAAAAGGAAGAGTGGCAATTTTTCTAACAGTAAGAAGTGTTTGGCTCCACTGGCTCTGACACACACTGGTCTTCAAATAAACAACCTTTCTCTTTTGAAGACCTCAACTCAATAGGAATCTGAGTAAAATAAGTTTAAGATGCCTCCAGCTCCCTTTTCTATAAATACCATAGATCCTCTCAGTGAAACAAAAGGCAGAGAGCACCAGTAAAAGGTTGTGTTTGCATATACAGTGTAAACTGAAAAGCCTCGGGTTTTAGATAAAATCCTGCATTGACCCAGTGAGGCATGACATTGATGAAACTATGTACGCAGTACATTCAGAACACGTAGGTTAAAGACCTTTGCCTACCACACAGATAGAGGCCTGTAATCAAAATCCAACTCCCACATCTTGCTCTTAAAATTTGTGGGATAAGTGTAAGGTTTAATGTAGGTAATTTTTCAATGGTGGCAGTTACGTTTCGTGGAGCTGGAATGCGTCTCTTTATCACTGCGTAGACACTCCATCTCCATTGCAACGTGACAGTGAAGTTTGTTTAACACGTGGAAAGGCGAATAAAAGGATCACTGTCTTTTTATCCTGTGTGAGGATATCACCTTTCACATGATTTTATTTGCAAGTAAATCAAGCACATCATTTCTGGGTTCCTATTGTTCAGAGAAAATGTGATTTCTGTCTGATGGCCTCTCATAACATTTTACCTTGCGCAGGAAGCTATTGTTGGCTGTTTGATCAAAGTGCCACGCTGTTTTTACAAGAGATGACTGATGAGCTGTACAGACATAGATCATTGTCAAGAGCAGAAAATAATGATGGTAAATGCTTTTATCATTTTCCAAGTTCTTGCCTAGAAAGCTTTTCCATTGATCAGTGTAGTACCTAGTAGAAAGTTGGAGTGATTAGGTTTGATTAGGACACACTAAAACTTGTCACATTAGTTAAATATACAGATATTGCTGTGCTGTAGAGTCCTTGAAACTAAGG